TGATTTTGACTTTTGTTACTTCTCCTGAAGGGATTACGAATTTTGCGATCTTTCAAAAAAAGCGCTTGACAAGACTTTAGCTGTTTCAAAATAATATTGGTGTATATTAAGTATAATCGCTTCATCAGGAACGTTACCAACTCTAGTCACGATGAAGTATCCGTTGTATATGTGTGCATGGAATAACTAATTTTAACTAAATACTTTTAGGGTTTTAAGGTTTCTAAAATAATTTAACTTATATTAGGAGAATAGTCAGTTTTTCGTTTAAGGTTATTTCTTAGAAATAATTTGATTCGTAGTTCTTCTAGTGGTAGATTTGGTTTTTTTTTTCATTTAATAAGATTACTTTCTTGATTTCTATTTTGTATTTTGGTCTGATTTCGATTTCGCGACGATTCAAGGGAAATTTTGATTAGTTATAAATATATTCATGGCACTTTCGAAATTTACGATTTTTTGTCCCTTCGTTTTCTTTTGCGCTTCTCTGTAACCTGTGTATTTCTTAAGTTGCGGGTTCTAGTTCATTTAAAGTGGTAATTTTTTTTTGTGTATTATAGATCCATCGTCGTCTTATTTGGCTAATTTGTTACTGAGGGACGGAACTTGCGGCTTTCTCGAAAAACTTTACAATCAATTGAAAAGTGCGCTTCTGAAAATTCTTAGTAACACTTCACTTGGCGCAAAAATACCCGATAATCTATCAAATTCCGCCTGAGATTTCAGTGCCAGATCCTCAAGACTACCAGAAGGTACCAGGGACGCTGGATGAGGTGTAGGAGGCACTGAATGAGGGCAATCAGGGTGCCGAATGAGAGCTGTAGTGTCATTTTCACGGTGCACCTGTCGAAAAATCGGAAAAAAGTCTGAAAAATTTGAAAAAAATTCCACTTAATCTGAAAAAAACTTGAAATACATGTTTCACTGATTTTCGATACCCGCAGATGGCAAGGGGCATATTGGGGCTGGTACCACGGACGTAACTTTTCACCCGTATTATGTCTCCTTATTCCGTCCATTCATTGAAACATTTCATTTTTCCATTTTTTTTTGTCCTCCTCCGGGCCAGTTATTTTGATCCGATGTAAAATTCCCAG